TCACATTTGATTATTTAACAGCGTTTGCATTTTCAATCAAATCAATTCGATTCGATTCGATTTCGATTTCGATTCGATTTCGACAATTCGATTTCGAAATATAATAGTTTCATCCTGTTTAGACTCTCAATCCGATATCGTAATAATTTCTAATCGAATAAACAGACGCGTACACGCACCTCCTCAATGATAGACATTCACGACAGTGTATTTTCGATAGTCCCTCATCTCGTCAGCAATTTCATTCCATTTTTCGGAATTCTATTCGCCATTGGCACTATTATGAGTGCCATTGTGCTATTGATACAGCTACCGCGTTAATGAGTATTATGGCATTTCCTAGAAATAGAATTCTAATACTTCACTGATCCAAACATTCTCAGAAACCGCTCAACGTAATTGAGTTCGGTCCATTGAATGATCACTTTTATCACTGTAAGACCTAATGATCTACTTGTGGATATGTCATAAATGACTTGTCATCTAATAAGAGAGGAATGGTTGGTTTTCATGAGATTATTCATATTTCCCCGTGAAGACTACGCTAAAAGACGCTATCGAACAAGTGATGCGAATGGCCGTCATCTGTTTCAGATGGACGATAAGATTACGTTGTTTGAACGACAACGTGAAGCTGAAACTCTGAGGAAATATGCGTTCTGTGGTGTAGCACTGTCAGCTATCGCGACGATGTTCTGTGTTATGCTCGTACCAATGCTCTACAATTACATGCAGCACATGCAGGCGATTATGCAAAATGAAGTGGACTTTTGTAGGTCGCGATCTGCAAATATCTGGCGTGAAGTCACTCGAACTCAGGTTGGATACTGTTCGCTGTTGTGGCAATTTTTTAATGGCAAAATGTCTAGATTCTTATCCAATGTATAAATCTTTACCCAGTTACTCGTTTGTGTGATTGCCTCACATTTTATCATCATCACCTTTCCAATCCACCCAATAATTGGATCACTTCAAAAAACAAGTGCCCAAATGGCTGAACGGTTGTAATCCTCACGATACATTCATCCGAGCGAATTTTATTACGACGTATCATATACGATATCCCACTTCATATCTCATTACTACGCGTTTATTGCACTCATTCTTTCGATCGCATCGTTACACTTCAACAAAAATTTCGAAGTCTTTCTTCATAATCATGAGCGTCGTGTACGCAAACACACACCGAAATGAAAAACATAAACAAACAATTGAACAATGATGCAGTATTCAAATATCCTATTTTATATCTTACGCATGCAAATGGTATCGTTCAATATGAATGCTTGACATACACATATGCTTCTTAGAAGCTCATAGGATCATTCGGTATTTGGATACACTCATGTATCGTAAGCGTTTCTTGCAATCTGACATAATCCTTTGTATGGATATACCTCTATTACTGACCAATACTGAATTTCAAAATATCTTACAGAACATAAAATAAATTCTTTGAATGTTTAGGTAGAGCTTCGTTACCATTTAGTGCTACACGTTTATGATTTTATCCTTTATGCCAACCAATTTTGCATTATTCGATCGATTAATTGCAAATCCTTAAAAGGTTTTGAATACTTCACGGCTCATCGAATCTATTCCTCTATTTGCATAATTAAAGGATCATTGAACAAAATCACGAGCGTTTTGTTGTCGTTATGATCGTTGTATGGTCATCATTTCACTCTAGATTCCAGTTTTTTGTTGCAGTTTTCTCAACTAAAAAACTGGTGTTTGAGAAAGAACCTATTGCAATTGCTATTGCAGTTTTCATCAGATTTATCGATCCATTTCAAAGTGGCTAATGATTTTTGTCAGATCCATAAAATAGTCTCTATCTGGAAATTGTGATTATCAGTTCTTTGGATTAGATCACAACTTTCAATAGTTTGGAGAAACTTTGGTGTGGATAAAACTCAAAACGATATAAAAAACAAAAAACACTAAAGTGAGGATCAATTGAGATCAATTCTTGTGGAAGAATTAAATATGGGTGGTCAGTTTAAGTGTCAAAATGAATGTATAGCACGATTAATACAATAATTTGTTTGGAAGGCGATTTAGGAAATTCATTCAGAATTGAATGTGATCCCTGATTATGAGATTTGAAGAGGTTACAGAGGCGTTCACTTGGATGAGCCGTATTCAAAATTTTTAGGTGTTAGTGGATGTTCCTGGTGTTCAACGATCGAAACGCTCATATGCAAGCAATGCTGACAGCATGCCGACTCGAAGCGACTGGCGCTCCTATGAAATTCGATCAGCAACACCGATGGTGGAGAGCTGTTGTGGCTGTGGAATGTCGCCACCTGGTCCACCGGGTCCAGCTGGACCGAATGGTAAAGATGGAACAGACGGAGAGCCCGGAGCACCCGGCAAAAACGGTACTGATGCCCTACTACCAGCAACTGCAGCGCCAAGAGTAAGAGAATCTTTTCCTAGCAGATGAAAGAAACAAATTTTCCGTGCTGAATGAATAATTGATCGTAGAATCTGCTTGATTGTGACAGGTCACTGAAAATTCCTGACTTAGAACTCATCGTCAGATTGATTTGATTGCTTAAGAATTTGGAATATTTCTGATTATGACAACTTATCAAACCATGAGATCGATCGAGAAAATCGGCCGCTGCAAAAAAACGGTTTTGTAGGACTGGTGTTTCGATTGTGAAGATGGGCCGCAAGGACCACCTGGAGGACCCGGACCAAAAGGTCCACCGGGTAAGCGCGGTAGTTACGGTGCACCAGGAATCAAAGGACAACCCGGGAGGCCTGGAAAGATAGGAACTGCTGGACCACACGGCCAACCTGGTAAACCCGGTGAGTGACACAATCATTATGCTTAGGGTCGCTCGCATCGTATAAGAAATGGCGAAGATAGGATTGAAATTCCGTTTTCATGACGTTACTTTTCCCTTATCAATAGTGAAAAACACGATGAAACGCTAGTGGAATTCTACAGGTGATAAAGGACCACAAGGCAAACCTGGGAAAGTGATCGATGTGGAAGGTCCAGCAGGAGTTCGTGGACCATCTGGCCCACCAGGACCGCAAGGAGCGGACGGCGCACCGGGCAAGCCTGGTAAACCTGGGCCTGACGGACCTCTGGGATCGCCTGGTGATCCTGGAAAGGACGGTGCTCCTGGAAGAGCCGGCCAGGACGGTCGGCGCGGACCAGACGGAGAACGGGGCAACGGTGGACGATGTGACCACTGCCCACCACCGAGGACAGCTCCCGGCTATTAATACCTGATTCTACCCAAGCGCCTAAACACTCCAAGCATGAAGAGTCTTAAGATTCTTTGAAGCTGACCAATAGCAAGCAATATTGAACAATCTCGTGCAATATCAATCAGTCTCGGAATGTTATATATCTCTTCACGAAATTCAATAATGACTTGCCATTGTTACTATTTGAAAATGACCAACCAAATGATTTAATTCGTTATTATTACTATTATTATTATATGTTACATTTTAGACAGCTGAAAATTCTTTTGTTCAATTTATGTCATAAAATGTAACAAATATTCTCGATTCCGTCCTCTAAGCAGCACCACCCATCATCCACCTATTTTATCAACTCAGCAATTAACAATTCAGACCTTCATCTCAGCTTCACACTCTATCCTCACCAATAATCTAATCCGTGCACAATGCTCTCGATCGTTTGGTCTTCCTAGAGGATGTATGTCAAACAAATGAACAAAAATTCACGTCTTTATACATAACTTTCAAAACATACAACCTATAACATATTGTTGTTATTAACGAAAAAAGAACACCAAACAAAACTAACAAATTAGTAACTACAATCAATTTGCATGCAAAAAAATGAGGTCACAAACAAATGCTAATATAACTCATTTCGTTTAGTCACTAAACGAAAACAATAACATGAAATCAACTTCACTTTCAGCAATTTCAAATGAAACGTTTGCAAGCGATCTTTTCCAAGCGANTAATCATTTCGAATGCTTTTCAAGTGGAATTTCTCAAAAAATTACAAAATTCAACACAAAAACGACCACAAACGAAATGTACAAAAGATACAAATGATTCCAACAAACAATGCTTATGAGCAATGATAATGAACAAACTACAAACAGATCAGAGTTGATATTATATCACTGATATATAATATAATACAATAAATCCATGCAAATCGCCTATTCCAATGCGCTGATTCGCTCGAAAACCAATCTTCCCAATAGAGTACTCCGTTGTTTGCTAGTCGCTGTTGTATTTACAGTAGGTCTTACCGATACCAATTCTTTTAAGCGACTCAGAGATTCCAAATTACCCACAGCTGAGACTATGGCTCGATCTGAAATGCGAGAAAAACCATAATTCTAACATTCATAGCAGAGTCATGATTAACTAAAGAATAAAATATCAATTAAAAGTAATATGATAATCGAAATAATACACAATAACAAAACAATTTGAATATCCAAATGGTTAAAATACCTTTACGATACTTGACTCTTCTGAGGCGTACACACTTAGCACCTGAATATCGTTGCAATTTCTCGCATAATTGCTCATCTTGAAACTCGAACTCATCGGGCAGCTCAATCATGAATGGATCCGTTTCTGTTACACCCAACTGAACTAACTGGTGGTCATTATTTCATTTCAAAGTCAGAAAACGAAAAAAAATTATTTTCAGTTTCGTAAGATCCACAACGAGTAATCCTGAGGCAA